GCAAGCCGCTGAGACCCCGTGTGCGGGCGGGGGGCTCCGAGCATCGAAGGGGGCTGCGGCCTCGGGGCCGGTGTGTCCCGGTGCCAGCGACTGGGGACACCGGGCGGGATCCAAGGGCAGCTGCCGCACAGGCGGGGAGAGCTGCGTGGCCTCTGTTCGCCTACATCTACATCCCCATGTCTGTGTGTATTTTTTTCCCACTCAAGGACTAAGGGACCTTCATTCTGATCAGCCAGAGGGGGGAGCACGATGAGGCCACTTGTGTTGTTTGTGAGTGCGGAGTGTGTGTGTCTGTGTGTGGCCAGTCACAGAATCACAGAACCATTCAGGTTGGAAAAGCCCCTCAGGATCATCGAGTCCAACCCTCAGCCCGACTCTACAAAGTTCTCCCCTACCCCACATCCCCCACAGCTCATCCAAACGGCCCTTAAACCCCCCCAGGGATGGGGACTCCCCCCTCCCTCGGCAGCCTGTTCCACTCTCTGACCACTCTTAATGGGAAACATTTTTCCCTCATGTCCAGCCTGACCCTCCCCTGTTGCGTTTAAAGCCGTTCCCTCTTGTTCTGTCACTAATTCCCTGTGAGCAGAGCCCAGCCCCAGCCTCTCTGCAATGTCCTGTTAGGAGCTGTAGAGAGGGGTGAGGTCTCCCTTCAGCCTCCTCCTCCTCACACTGAACAGCTGTACATACATGTGTAAATATGTGCGTGCACATACCCATGTACCTGTGTCTATAGATGCGTTGGCCTCTGTGTCTATGTGTATGTGTGTGCATACTGGGAGCCCATGCTCACTCCCATTACCAGTTGGACTTGGGTTCATGGAGCTGTGGCAGGATTCAGCAGCTCCTAGCAAGAACACGTTTCATTTGCAGAGAGTTGCCTTCCACAGCCCCTGATCTTTTCTTGTAGAGCATGTCCCTTGGAAATGCACACATGGGCTTAATTTTTAGGTAGACACAAAGCATCTCTTTACCAGGGTTGAACCCACAATCCAAAACCCAGAAGGTTTTTCAGATCCCCAAATAGATTGAAAGTACCCACAGTGAACACAGTAACAAGTTTTTTTTTAAAAAAAGCCCACCAAATTTTGAAAAAAAATTTCTCAAAAAACTCATGCAAGCCAGCATGTAAGATAGCTCTGCCTTGGGCTACTTAATGACAGAATGAGGTCTCCTGGGTCACGGGGGGAGAAAGAACCACTGTCTGCCCTGTAGCTGGAAAAGAGGGTCTGACTAGGCTACTTTGAGCATATTCTCTTTCTTAGATTCAGCCATGAAACAAATATGCCTTTCATAGTTTATACATTAACATAAGACAAGAGTTAACATCCCTTTATTGCATAAACATAAAAGCAGGCACTGCTCACCAAGCAGCAAAACAAAGCCTGTGAAGAAGCAAACATCGTTTCAGTGCCGTGACCTGTTTGTGCACTGTTTCTGGATTCAGCCTTTGTGTGGAAAAAGGGCTCGTGTCCTAAATGGCAAAAAATTCCCTTTCCTAATGGGCTTCCCAACCCATTATTTCATCACAGAGATGCTGCCTACATCTTTCCTAGATTGTGTTTGATCTCATACTTCAAAGAATTATAAGGAAAGTCATATTCAGCCTGGCCAGATGTCCATACATTTCAGTGCTCTGTCTCTCCCACCAGCCAGGAGCAGATGCTCAGATAAATTTAAGGAGCAAGCATAGTTATCTTTCTCTGTCAGCCATCTGTACTACTCACCTCAGTCAGCAACTGTGTCCCAGTTATAAGGCAGCTGCAATCATGCAGGTCTCAACTATTACAGCATGCATTCATCTTCATATTTTCTACACAGATAAGAAAGAATAAAAGAATAAAAGAAGAAGGTAAGGGAGGGAGAGATGGAGGGAGGAAAAGAGGGTGGGAGGAAGGGAGGGATGAATGAGAGAAAGAGACAGAGAAACCCTGAATGTTGGTAAGCCCTCTTGGTCAGGTCAACAAAACCTTGAGTATGCAAGTAAATGGCTGAAACTCCACCTGTAATGCACTTCTACTAAGTTTTGTTTCTACTAAACCATCAGCCTTTAAGTTCTTTACCTGCATTGCAGTAGTACAAAGTCCTCACAGTGTTAACAATAGCCAGCACCCTTTCTACCTTAATATACTGCTTTTAATTCCCCACACCACGCATTTTCCCTAGCCTTTGCTTCATACACCCTCACCCTTCACCACTGGTGATCCTGAGAGAGCAGTCACTTCTTTGTGTAGTGATTTAGCAACCCCTGACATAGGAACGCAGGTTTCTGCCCTTGCAATGGTCTCTCCAGCCGTACCTGGAAAATAAAAACATGATGTAATTTGAGGAGTTAGATGGTGTTCGAATTGGTTATAAAAACAAACTTGGTTAGTCTTTGAGAATCTTGGCTGAAGAAAACTGGGCATGAAAGATATGAATCAATGAGAATTCTGATGAGTGCAGTCTAGGCAGCCGGGAGAAGGGCAAGAAAACAAAAGGGAGAGCTCTGGGAGGGGAGGGAAATTTAGGGAGTTAGAGCAGATGCCATGAGCCAGGACTCCTCAGTTCTCCTTTCAGCTCTGGGAGGAGGACTGTGCTAAACTTTACCAAATACAGCTCCTCTGCCATTGTCCCCACTACCACCACCAGTCAATAGCAGGATTTTCTGTTGTCTCTTCTGCCCCTTTCCCCCAGTGCCCACTTCAGATATCCTTACCAAGGACTGAGGCCATGAGCCTCTCGAGCAATCTTCTTGGCACACCGAATAGAATCCTCAATATTATCTTGAAGTTCTGTAGAGAAGGGAGAAAAGGTCAGTATGGAGATAAGAGGGGTAGAGGGAGAGCAGGGGTAGGTGGGCAGACAGAAAGATGTTCATCAGGAAGGGCAGTGGGATACTGAGGAGATGGATGAATAGAAGGACCCTGGGAGAGCAATGCTCAGAGCAGCTGCTACAGAGTTGTCATGGACCTGTGAGGGTGCTTTCATAGAGTGGATGAAGAAAGTCTCTGTTCTGTCCCGCCACTTACTTGAGCAATGGATATGGCAGGCATTCTTGGATCCACGAGTCTTCCCATCGTCACACCAGTACTGGCTGTTGATCTGAAAGATCCCATAGTCCCTGCTCGCACCATTGTTATGAAAGGCTTTAGTGTTGTAACCGCTCTCATGTTGCACCAGGCAGACCCCTGCAGGAGGAAGAGAGAGCCCAAAGAAGGAACATTAAGGTATGCTCAGGGTAAATAAGAGGAAAGAGATGAAGGGCTCAAGGATGAATGAAGAGCTGGAGAGGTTATTAAACTGGTGATATTGTTAAGTCTGAGATATGGATGGATAAATGCTTGGAAGGATAAAGCTCTGGATGGGTGTTTGTTGTGTAAGCAATAGAAGGGGGCAGGGAAGTGAATGAGGAAGAGAGATGGTGAAATCAAAGGAATGGAGGGACAGAATAGTAACTGCTGAAAGATTACAAAGAAGCTGAGAGGGACAAGGGTGGTATAGGCAGAGAGATGGAGTGGAAGCTCATTATACTCACAGTCAGCTACTGTTGTGCCCTCAAAGCCCTCAAAGCCATGCTTACGAAGGATCTTCACCAATTCACATCGGGAGATGATTCTTCCTTGGGTGCCTGGCAAAGCCAGACCAAGGAAGACAAGAAGAAAGCCAAAAAAGAGCACTGACTTTCTCATCATGCAGTCCTCAGCAAGGAAGTGCCAGAGCAACTTGAGTTGTCTGTCTGTCAGGACTGCCTTCAATTCCAGCCTTTTATTCCTGCTCCCAGGAGGAGGCTCAAGTGGCTAGCCAAACATGCCATGGGTAGTGTGGGAGGCCTTTATCGTAATGAGCCAACGAGGAAATGGGCCAAAAGCCAAAGGCAGTTACTGGAGGATGCTAGCCCTGCAAGGGTGGGGCACTGAAGTGCTAAGGTTTGGATGATAGGCTTAAGCCAGAGTAGACCTATAGATGAATCCTGTATATTTTATAACTGATAACCATTGTGCTAATAGGTATTATACTAAACATGTTTATCTTGGATATATCCTTATCTTTCTTTGTGTATAATCATGATAACAGGGCCACAGAGACAGTTGTCTGGCCCTGGGACGTGGTGTGTGACCTTGCTCATAAATCAATTAGATAAGCTGGGAAACTCCCTGAGATTCTCCCCTGAGCCCTAGCCAGGCTCTGGGGGAATCTAATGTGAGAGTGGAACCAGATACTTCCACTTAAAACAAAGGTGCGTTTCTCATCCAGGATATTGTGTTGGAAGCCTTAGGAAGAGGGAAGGTGCATAAGCACTGCTTTCCCTTCAGTCACAGAATCAGCCATTTTATCTTAGAAGACAATCAGATTGCTCAGCCACAATTTGCCCTTGGTCAGTCCATGGTAATTGGTTCTAGTCCCCTTCTTGTCCTTCATGTACCTGGCAGTGGCTTCTGGGAGAACTGAACCCATGATCCCCCCAAGAACTGAGGTGAAACTGACTGCCTTGTAGTTCCCTGGATCCTTTTTTCCCTCCCACCTCTTTAAACATGGGCATCACATTTGATTTTTTTACCAGCGACTGAGTACATCTCAAAGTATCACTGCTTTCCAGAGATGGTGGAGAGTAGCCACAACGATATTAACTGTATCCTGTAGCACCTTCAGAGGGATCCCATGGGGTATTATGGACTGGTGAGTGTCCAGCATCTCTAAGTCATTCCTACATGGAGCTTCAGCTACTGTGAACAGAATAGACTAGAATGAAATGGAATGGAATGGACTATTTTCAGTTGAAAGGGACCTACAGCAGTCATCTAATCCAAAGCCTGACCACTTCAGGGATGACTGAAAGTTAAATTGTGTTATTAAGGGCATTGTCCAAATGCCTCTTAAACACTGACAGACTTGGGGCATCTACCACCCATCCAAGAAGCTTGTGCCAGGGTTTGACTAGCCTCTCGCTGAAGAAAAGCTTCCTAATGTCAAGTCTAGAGCATGTGTAGCCCTCTGAATCTCACTGGCAGGTGTGGAGACCTGCAAGCAGCTCTTGCATTTGAAGGCTAAGGTACAGGTGGCATGAAGTACTTCAGCCCATCCTATGTCCTAAAAAAATATTGGCACTCTAACTATACATTATATTAGTTCTATTATGATTGTGTTTATTCTGTATTAGAATAATAAAAGTGTCATTGTCTATTATACAAATTCCACTACTATACAGTTATCTTATCACAATGCCTTTTCCAGTAGTGCAATTTCCTTTAGGTCAGCCATCTAATTAACCATTCCTTTCAAAATTGGCTTGTGAATTGACATAAATCTTTACCTCCTTCCTGTAATGAGTGACTTTTTGCTTGGAGCCTCAACCAACCATTGCCCCTGTCCACCCCGTGCCTGGCAGGACCAAGTCCTGCTCAAAGCTGGGAACTTTCCACTCTTCCCAGCACTCCATGTTTCTTCCTGAGTCATGGTGGAGTGTCTCAAGGCTCCTGGCAGGAGCTGTGGTAGAAACTCTTTCTCCATGCACTTGTCTGGCATTTTCAAATCACTGAGCAACTCTATGGAAAGGAGACCCCAGGTCCCAAGATGAAAAATGCTTGAGATGGGAAATGTTGCTGCCATGGGAGGTTGCCTTGGGAGAAATTACTCAGGTGTCAACCTCACACTGGGCTTTTAATGTCTTTATGGAAATTTTGGTTGTATCTTTGCTTGTAAAGAGTTCTCCCTTTTCAGTTTCACTGATAGAAGTAGAATGAGGCAAACCAAAGAAATAACGATGGTTATCTCTGCTTGCTGGGAGAGTATTGTTTGGATGGGCAGCTCACAGACATAGTTAGAGGAATGTCAGAGCAGAGTCACACAAAGACATAATTGTTACCCCAAAACTGTCAGATTTACTCCAGCAAATCAGTGAATGCTTCTCCTCACAATCTTTGCAAGTGAGCTTTTTTCATAGATACTTTCCACAGTACAAGCTGATGAAGGATGAACTGTCCTGAGACACACACCAGTGATGCACCACATCAGTGAAGCTGACCACAGTGCTAGTGGGTGGCATGTCCCACATACTATGGGAGCTCTGGCCTTGGCGGGGCTATCACACACTTTTTCTCCCACTACGGACCTGGTCGAGTCTGTGCCAGCGTTGTGTGTTACAGAAAGAAGTGGAAGTTTAGACAGTTACAGTCCCTAACCATATCTTCCCTACTGTGGGTAGTATTTCTCTTCTACAGACTCTGTCATGTGGCACAAGGACCTCAGGGCAGGTTGCATCAGTAAAGCCTGAAGCCAAGAATTCAGTAAGTAGAGGTCAGCCTTTTCCAAATCATTTGTCACTAGGTCCCCTGCCTCATTCATCAATGGACCCACATGTCCCTTAGCCTTCCTTTTGCTGCCCACATACGTCTAGAAACCCTTTTTGTTACCCTTCATATCCCTCAATAGTTCCACTTCCAACTTAGCTTTCCAAATGCCAGCTCCATTTGGGCAATGTCTCTATATCCTTTCTGGGTAGCTCATCCCTCCTTACACCCTCTGCATCCTGTTTTCATCTTTTGTGTGTGTGTTTGACCTCCCTCTTTTCCCTGTTCATCCACAGAGGCTTCCTGTCACACCTGTGCAGCTTCCCACATATCTGACTGTACCACTCATGTTCTCAGGAGGTCCTCATTTCAGTTTTAGAAGCTGCTCTGGGTACCTTTCCCCTTCATGGCAGTTTCCCATGGGGGAAAAGAGATTCTTGGAATCACATATTCAGACCTGTATTCTTCCTCTGCCAGAGAGGAAGTGAATTGTTAGTGCTCTGTGAGACAGGGAGTCTAAACAATCTTAGATTGATGGTGCAAGGCCTGCGCAAAAACAAGGGGAGGCGTATGGGACTGTTCGAAAAAGACATACCAAGTACTGATAACGTTGCTAGGTGATTAACTCCTAGCCCAAAGAGAAGTCCCTCCTAGTCTCTGAAAAACAGACAACCCCAAAACATTGGACTGGAAGAAAGCCAGAGAACAACTGAGGCTGCGCAGAGCGATAAGGAGAAAAGTTCGTCAGCGAAGAAGAAGAGGAGACCTGATTACCATGAGAAGCGAGGGGAGGCGGGGGTAGACTATGTATATGT